ACTCCCAGCCAGCGTGGTTGGCTGGCGTGGGAATTCTGGGAGTTGAAGTCCACACATCTTCAAGCTGCCAAGGTTGAGAAACACTGCTCTAGTAGTTGCCTGTCTAAGATCAAGCTCCCTTAGCTTTATTGAGATCAGCCAAGCTCTATTAGATACTACCACCTACTGTAACACTCATGGTAGAAGAGAATCTGCTGTTACATTTTATCTAAAGGCCTTCTCTCCGCTATTTAAAATACATTTCAAGTGTTGTTAAAAGTAAATTAGGTTTCAATAAATTGAGAAGACAACATATGATACATTACAGAGTTGTGATTTAAAAAAAAATACACATGCACCAATATGTACAATATGAACACAGACACACACATTTGTGAAAACTGGTACATGTTTTTTGACAGATATCACAGCATCACCAAGCAGTTTTTCCGAAAGGCGGATGGAGTGGTGCTGATGTATGACATCACCTCAGAATGCAGTTTTGCAGATGTGCGGTACTGGCTGAACTGTGTCCAGGTAAAGCTATAAACAGCTGTATTCCATTGTTGTTTAATCCTAGATTTTTTCATTTTGATCTTGATGATTCTTAGAAATTCGAAAAACTTTAGCTGAAAAAATGCTAGTTGGTGCTATGTGTGGTTACATAGAAGTAAGCCTGCATCTGATTATCTTTATTCCTTTTATAAATACATTTAGGATTGCAACATCTCTATGATGTTACACTAATACAGTTTAGAGATTTAGCTAAAAGCATGGAACAGCTGATACATAGATCAGCTATCAGCTTTTAAAAGCATGTGTGCTGGAAATTATTTTAGGTAGATTGTGTTGTTAAAATAGTCATGGAGCAGAACTTTGAAATTTGTGTGTGTTATTTTTAAGTGTGGGTTAGGGGGTTTTGGATTATACTTTTATTGTACAGCCTCCTTGCCTTACAGAATTTTACAGGGTGTCAAAACATCCTTCTTAATCAGTAATCCTGTATTTTCCTACCACTTCAAAAAAAAAAAAAAAAACTTTAGGAGAGTAGCTTGTCTGATTCACTGCCATGAACAAAACAAATATTTAATATTCTTTAATTACTTAGGCTGAATATGGATAGAGAATGTTCTACTTTGGAGTTAAAGGCACTTTTCTCTTATACAGTATATTATATCTTTTCGTGGATATAAATAAAAATTATAGTTACAGAAAATAAAAATAAAAAGTTTTTTTTTAAAAAAGTAATTTTGTAATTCTTAAATTCTTTAATTCTCTAAATTACAAATTCTTTTGTAATTCTTAAAATTGGGGTAGGCAGTCTTTTTATGGCCACGGGCCACATTCACGTTTTTGAGGAGAGGCTGAAGGCCACCATGTTGGTGGGGTAATTTCACACGTGTGGGAAGCTTGGATTTTATGGGAGTTTAGGTGTTTTATTTGTGGTTGTTCTTAAAACCATGAAATACCTATTTTAGGGGTATTTCCCCATTGTATAATGGGAGGAGTTTTTATCAGTCAAGATTTGAGGGTGCTACAAGGGCTACAAAAGAGAGGTCTTAAAGAATGCAAGTTGCCATCTTCAATATACCTTATTGATGTTATCATGCGCATCACCGTGTATCTTATTGGTTTTTAAAGCATGGGCATTTATTTGATCTTTTACATTTTCCCGTTCATTATATTTCATGTGCCTTTATAGTGGCTTTAGAATTTAATACTGTACTGTATAGCATGTTGGCAATATCTGGTAGAAAGAAGAACATATGTTTCTCTCAGAACTTCAAGGAAATTTCCAAATTGCTATATCTTTTTTAGTACAATAGGGTGGTAAAGATATTACTTGGAGCTAGAGACTGTCCAGTAATATGTTATGTCACAGTTGACTAACTGTTGACTGTACAGTTGACTTACTAGCTGATTTTAGTTCAGCATAGCTTTACTGTATAAACCATGGCTTACTCTGTGTTGCTGTAGAAACTCAATTGTTGTTTGTTGAATAAACCTTGGCTAAGCAAATCATGGCATAGCACTATATGTAAAACCAATAAATGTGGCACCTGCGCATTGCTGAACTAGCGGCCCTTACGCTTCTGCATCCCCTTCATGAAGCTTTTTGGAAAAAATTGGGTCTCCCTCTTCTATCAGTCAGTCAGCTTTATTACAGTCCTTGACCAACTCAAAAAGAAAAACAATTCTGAAACAGCAAATAAAAATAATAACAGAACTAATAATTATAAAACTGATGCTGTCACAGTGCAATGTATTTTACAAATGATAAAACAAAATGTAACCACATTCAGAGGAATACAATCACATCAGCCAGGCAATAATAACTGTAAATAAAGGAAATTTAGGTGGTCTGGAAATCTGACTAGACAGGGAGGGAAGCTATTAGCTGTAATAACCCTTTTCTATTCACAATGTTCATCAGAAAAACCTGCAGCCTACCTATGAACTATTACAGAAGCCACCACTACTGTATGTCTTACTTTGTTATAACTGAAGGACAGTGAAGTAACAGAAACTCTGAAGGCAAATCCATAATTGGGCCTAGAGTTGGCCACACAGCAATTAAGAGGCACAACCCATTACGGTGCTTCTGTTCATTATTTGTATTCAGATAGATATAAAATATTGGACCTAATAAGATCAAATTCTGCACAAGACATTCTCAGTTTATCTGCCTATAAAATGGGAGCAGTTTAGTTTAAGAGGATGTGATAAGTTCTTAGTTATTTTAAGACATATGCTAGGCCAAACCTCACACTAAGCTATAATGTGTTTGATTTGGGTTTACCTGTATTGTGTGAAGTCAGCCATGGTTTGTAAGGCATGGTCTGTGACTTACTGTGGTGTGTGAAATGAACCATTGACAGCTATTCGATAAACCATTGTTAAAACAACTATTTGTGAAACTAGCCATTGTTTTAAATAGTGTAAAAAGGCAATTAAAAGTAGATATTGCACATTTCATATTTCCAGGTAAATGAGCATACTGTGTTTTTTTTTAATGGTTAGGAAACTTAATCCCAATAGATTTTCCTTTATTATTGTCAATAAGTTCATTTAAGACATTTTGATTTCATGTAACGTTTGAAGAAATGTGTGTTTCCTCATAGGAAGGAGCAGGGGATGGAATCGTTGTCCTTCTGCTTGGGAACAAAACAGACTGCAATGTGGAAAGGAGAGTGTCTGTAGAGGATGGAGCACATCTGGCCAAGGTATACTCCTCAGCTTTTCTCTTACCATTTTAATTATTTTTCCACTGATGGTAAAAATAAGCTTATGCTCTCTGGAAAACATTCATCCATTAATTTAATAAAAATTAAATGGATTTAAAAATCCATTTAATAAATAATTTAATAAAAATTAATTTAATTTAATAAAAATTAATCATAAGAAACTTGTTCAGATGCTGTGCATGGCCCTAGCCCTTTTATATGCATTTGTCCAAGATTTACTCTCTGCAGGGATAGGTAGGAAAATTCTGGTATGTCATAAGCCCTACTTTGATGGCAGACTGAAACAGGCTACCATGGTCTAAAAAAGGAGGGTGGGGAGTTTCATTGGCATTTGTACCTGTATTTCATTGACATTGGCATGTGGGTACAGCATGAATATATTGAACTAGAAATATTACTAGAATATGCAAGTCTATACTGAAAAAGCTAATTTCAAGGTGCTTGCAAAAATATAAATCGGTAATATATATTTATTAATAGGTTTTAGGATTCACGTGGATGATCTGGTAGCTTATCCCAATTCATTTCAATCAAATCACTTGCCAATGACAAAAACTTTTTTTTTTGACCTACTGAGTAACTGCTCTGATTCAATCCATCCTTCTCTAAAGCAAGAACAGAGACATTTGACAATGTTCAGTGTCATATTGCATCTTCCAGATAAAATAGCAGGAGTGAAAGTTGGATTCAGTTTTTGTGGTTAAGTATAACATTTGTCAGTTCAAAGAAGTATGTGTTCCTTGTCATCATTGTCTCTTACATTTTTGTGCCAGGCATGTGGACTCCCATTTTATGAATGCAGCGCTGCTTCAGGTCACAATGTCACAGAATCCATAGTCCAGTTAGTCAGGTGAGTAATTAGTGCCAGCTCTTTCTTAGGTTGTGACAGGAAAAATCCATACTTTTCTCATTCAAAAACCTACAGCAACTGAGATCTTCCTAAGTAGTGAATGAATTAGTGAAGCTTTGTTGAATATTCATTGTGGAACACGATGAAGTCAGCTATACCCATTGTGTCAAGGTTGACTAAAGCAGGGGTTTTCAAACTTTTTCAGGATGTGGATCCTTTTTTTTTTTAAATAATCCTGGAAACCTTGATCAAGAGATAAAGCTCTAGGGACAGAAAATTGGCTGCATCTGAGTGAACATGTTTTGCTCAGTCTCTCGTGGAACCCCATCGAGTTCTAATGGGACCCTAGTGTTCTACAGAATGCAGTCTGAAAAGACCTGGGCTTCACACATAATGAAACTAGTACAGGAAGGCCTGTCTTGTATCAGACAATTTTTTGAGGTGCACTCTTGGCATGTTATCATGATATACGACCAGAAAGCAAAGTAATAAAAATATTTAGGTCTAGTCTTTGTCCTACCAACAGGAGTATCTTCTAGATACAGTCTCCTGCAACAGAGGAATCCCCCTGGCAGAATGGTTGTGCTAACTCTACATGCCACTCAGTAATCTTGACAAGAAAATGAATTTTCCAAGTATAAAGTACAGGAGAGTAAAGTCCAGCCCCAAATATTTTATACATAGATTATATGTTAATTACTATGCAAAGTATTTTATTTAAGGGGAGAGTGTGTGTAAAAGAGACCTGTGACTTCAAAAGGTCCTGAAAATCTTTAGGATTATGCAAAATTGTATACAGACTATTTGTTTCTATGTTTATAACAGGTTGATGAAAATTCAGGAAGACGAATTAAAAAAGAAGGTTCTAGAATTACCAGTGCCACTTAAAAATAAGATAAGTTGTTGTTTATAAAGTGGAAAAGGCTAATAACTGTTGATCCTTGTGTCTACTGTGTGAATAGGTATATTGTTTGCCCTCTTGAATCTGGGTTGAATCCAACTTGTATAGCATAGGAAGTTTTGCCACCTCAGATGAAAACTGAGGATGGTCATTGTTCTACAGCAGTGTTGTCCAAACTTGGCCACTTTAAGATGAGTGGATTTCAACTCCCAGAATTCCCCAG